CGGTGCCCTTGTCTGGGCCCCCGCCCACCCGCACCTTCCGCCACCACCACGCGATACGCAGACCGTTTCTGTGCCAGGACCTCGGTGGGATCTTAGATCTGGGCCTGGGGGGGGGAATGCTCCCGTAATCTCGGCTCTGCGTCCTCCTCCCCCGCCGCCTCCTCCATCTCCTCCAGCGTTCGCTCAACGCCCCACCCTCGAGGGCCGCCAGGACCTCTGGAAGCTCCGAGTGTTCCCAAGAAGCCCCGAGTCCCCCTCCAGAAGCTCCCATGCGTAAGACTCTCCTGCCCACCCCCTTCCTCCTCCTCCTCCTCCTCCTCCTCCTCCTCCTCCTCCTCCTCCTCCTCCTCCTCCTCCTCCTCCTCCTCCTCCTCTTCCTCCTCCAAACCATTTCTCTCGTGGAGGAGGGCCGCGCCGCCGGGGACTCGGCCCCGAGGGCTGCCGGCAAACTCGGGAACAGCCCTGCCAGCGGGGGCCCGATGCAGTGTGCGGGGGGGGGGGGGGGGCGTCTCGCACTGCAGCCTGCGGTGCGGGGCAGCGAGTGCGATGGGCTGGAGGTGCTGCTTTCACCGTGCTCCCTCAAGAAGTCGTAAGTCGGGCCTGTCCCCCTACAGGGGGATTTTGAAAAAAAAATATGTAAAAAATAGTCCCCAGACTATTCTTTGACTATTTTGGAATATCCCCCCTGTAGAGGGACAGGCCGGACTTAAAAGAAGTCCCACGTGTCCACGACGGGCGACGCGCAGGCCAGCATGCGGACGGCCGTCTATAGAGGCACGCGGTGGGCCCCCACACTTGGACATGGGAGTCTACACTGCTGTGGGGCGGCGGTGGTGAAACGTGGCCGATTCGGCAGCTCACCCGGATGTGCACGTTCGCGGAGGCCGCCCAATACATGGGGCCCGTGCTTCTGCGCGATCGCCCGCTTTGCACGAGATGGGGGAAGCCTGGCAATGCACTGGCCCACCCGCCTGAGGGCTTATGCATGGTTTGTTATGTATACGCACCCTTCATCTGCGTGGTTTATGCATGGTTTGTCTTTCAATGCGTTGTATTGGGTTGTGTTCGCTTCCTTTTCAGCGTACGTTTGGTCACGCAGCGCCAGCATAGTCTGAAAAGGAGCGCACTCGCCTTCGGCTAGTTGGCTTGAGCACAAGATTATCGACACTGGTGGGCAATCATTCATTGTTCATTCGTGGCTCTGCAGTACACAGTGCTGTGTGGAGAACGCGACGTACATGTTGTACACCATCCTCGCACGCTCGGCCCTCAGGAAAATCCAGGAAATTCCTCCTCCTCCTCCTCCTCCTCCTCCTCCCCTTCCTCCTCCTCCTCATCCTCCTCCTCCTCCTACCCGAACTCCTCCTGCTCCTCCTCCTCCTCCTCCTCCTCCTCCTCCTCAAGGAGGCAAGGCAGGAGGGTGCAAACCCGACTTGTCTGGCTGATCGCTCAACGATGTGCTGTCAACCAAACCTGCAGGGTGGGCCCTTTCCAATTTTCTGCGCACTTCAGCTTTGGCTTCGGCTTGAACTGCCGATGCATCGTGAAACGCCTTCGGCCCAGCCCACCCAGGTCGGGTTTGCCGCTCGCACAGGTGCCGCCGCCCCCCGCCGCCGCCGCCGTCTCCTCCTCCTCCTCCTCCTCCTCCTCATCCGCATCCGCATCCGCATCCGCATCCTCCTCCTCCTCCTCCTCCTCCTCATCACACCACCCACACCACCCATCACCATCACCATCACCATCACCATCACCATCACCATCACCATCACCATCACCATCATCATCATCATCATCATCATCATCATCATCATCATCATCATCATCATCATCATCATCATCATCATCATCATCATCATCATCATCATCATCATCATCATCATCATCATCATCATCATCATCATCATCATCATCATCAACATCATCATCATCAACATCATCATCATCATCATCATCATCATCATCATCATCATCATCATCATCATCATCATCATCATCATCATCATCATCATCATCATCATCATCATCATCATCATCATCATCATCATCATCATCATCATCATCGTCATCGTCATCGTCATCGTCATCATCATCGTCATCGTCATCGTCATCGTCCTCATCCTTGCACCGGAGCAGTCCTCCCAGCACCGCGCCCGCCAGCGCTGCCTCGCTCGGCCGGGCGGGGGCGATTGGCCAAGGGCAGTAGGGCCAGGGAGAGAGCGCCGTGCCCGAAAGGGAAGGGGAGGAGAAAAGGGAGACCGCGACGTGCAGGGAGGAGAGGGGATCAGGAAGGATGCGAGGCGGAGGTAGGGCGGAGGGAGGAGGGAGGTAGCGGGAGAGAGAAGGAAGACGAATTGGGAAGGAGGCGGGAGGGGGGGAAGTGAGGACGAGGAGAGCGCGCGGGAAAAAACATGATCCTCCTCCTTTTCCTCCTCCTCCTGCTCCTCCTCCTCCTGCTCCTCCTCCTCCTCCATTCCTTGTTCTGATACACAACTTCTCCCTGTCGCACCCCGAAGCCAGCTTTTAGGGCGGGCCGGGCGTTTCGCCTGAGACTTGCTCACCATTTATGACCCTGAAACTTAAGCACTGGCAGCAGCTTCATAGATGGAGGGCGGGTCGCTTTCAAAATTTGGCGTATTATTTGTCCTACCAGCCCTTTAGGGCGCAAGGTGGTTTAACACCGTTTCTTCTTCCAACCATCACTGTTCCCTGTTAGTATACACCCCCTCCCCCAGGCGACTGGGAGCCAACCAGGGACAATGAGGGCCCCTTCCCCACAATCCCTTGTAAAAAAACAAACGCACTCTGCCTCCAAATTCGGAGCATGCGCAGCGAACCCGGTGCGGCCTCCCCCCACCATCCCTTTCAAAAACACTACGGGGTACACTTGGCGGCGGCGGCGGCGGCTGCGGCGGCTGCGGTGGGGGCAGCGGCTTCGGCGGCTGCGGCGGTGGCGGCGGCGGCGGCGGTGGCGGCGGCGGCGGGGGCGGCGGCGGCGGCGGCAAGGCTGCGGCGGCAGCGGTTGCGGCGGCTGCGCTTCGGCAGCGGGGGCGGCGACGGCGGCGGCGGCGGCGGCGGCGGACAGCGCAGCGGCGGCGGCGCGGTGGCGGCGGCGGGCGGTGGGGGCGGCGGCGGCGGCGGCGGCGGCGGATTCGCCCCCAGTAGCTGCCCATCCAACGACGACTGCTGCGTATGCTGCGCCTCGGGCCAGGCTCGGGTGCGACGTATGTGTTGGGAACGCGGGTGGGGGTGAGCGAGGCGGCTTGCGGGCGGAGAAAGAATCTTGATCACTGTTCCCTAAAATAATATAAACCCCTCCCCCAGTCGACTGGGAGCCAACCCGGGTCCATGCGGGCCCCCCCACCACCATCCCTGGTACAAAAACAATACAAAACACACTCTGCCCCCCCACCATCCCTTGTAACAAACGATACACAACACACTCTGCCTCCAAATTCGGAGCATGCACAGCGAACCCGATGCGGCCTCCCCCCGCCATCCCTGTCAAAAAACACTACAGAATACACTTGGCGGCGGCGGCGGCGGCGGCTGCGGCGGCTGCGGCGGCGGCGGGGGCGACGGCGGCGGCGGGGGCGGGGGCGGCGGCGACGGCGGCGACGGCGACGGCGCGGCAGCGGGCGGGCCATTGTGCGGCAGCAGCGGATGTGGCGGCGCAATTCGGCAGCGGAGGCGGCGGCAGCGGCGGCGCGGCGGGCGGCGCCGCGGCGGCGGCGGCGGCGGCGGACAGCGGCGGCAGCGGCGGCGCGGCCGCGGCGGCGGCGGGCGGAGGCGGAGGCGGCGGCGGCGGCGGCGGAGGCGCCCCCAGTAGCTGCCCATCCAAAGACGACTGCTGCATATGCTGCGCCTCGGGCCAGGCTCGGGTGCTACGTATGTGTTGGGAGGGCGGGCGGGAGTGAGCGAGACGGCTTGCGGGCGGGGAGGGAGACTCTTGACCCCTCCCCCAACCCCCTCCCCTGGACCTGGAGAGGGGTGGTCGCGAGCGGTCAGGGCGTCCAAGATGGCCCAAGACGGCTCCAATAGGGCCTCCGAGAGCCCACGATGATCTCCAAGATGGCTCAAGATATCCCGAGATGCCTCAAGATGGCTGCCAAGATGCTTCAAGAGGGTCCAAGAGGGTTCCAAGAGGCCTTCGAGACATTCAAGGATGCGCTCACGAGGCCCGAATCCTTCCAACAACACCTGAGGAAACCAATGATTGTTGCCTTCTCGCCTTTCCGCTTCCGATGGACATCCGAGGTCTCAAGATGGCTCCAAGATGGCCCAATGGGGCCCCAAGCGGGGCCCAAGAGAGCCTCAAGGCGGCCCCAATCGCGCCCAAGAGCGCTCCAAGGGCACCCCAAGAGACCATGGTTGGGGCGCCCGAGGGGCAGCCCGAACTGGGGAACCCCTCTTCGTTGATCGATGTCCTCCAAGATGGCCCCAAGTAGCGCCCAGAAAGCCCTATGTCTGCTAAGCGGCAGGAAGCCTATGTCCTGGCCGCTGGGAAAAATCCGAACGAGAAGGGCGCGCCGCCGCCAGCGCGGCGACGTAGGCGTCAGCGCGCGCGGACCACACGGCCCGCCGTCAATTATGAGCACGAACCGACGCGCACACTACCAACACCACCACCACCGGGACAGGAACCAGCGGGGGGCGGGTGATCGTCATGCCGCCGACGCTTCGACGGAGGGGCGGGCGGCAGGTCGTCGCAGGGTCCGTGGTCGTGGGGGGGGGCCGCCGTCGTCGGGGAAAGTCCCGCCGTCACTGGGGAAGAAGAGGTCGGCGTCGCCCACGTCGTCGGGGAAAACGTCGTCGTCGAGGTCGTCGTCGGGGCCGGGGTCGCCGTCGCCTGGGTCGCCGCCGGGACCGCCGAGACCGCCGGGAGGGCGCCCCCACGCCGCCACCACCGCCGCCGCCGCCGCCAGCGAGGAGCTGGCGCAGGGGACCTCAGTTGGCACAGGGAGCCCCTGGAGGATCTCAAAACCGAGGCGGCACGCTGCGACCTGCAGCTGGGCGCGTCGCTCGGTCGACCGTCCGGCCGAAAAAGTGATCCAGCCAGATTTCGCCGTGACCCGCGGCTGGGAGGCCCACCGCGCAGGCGGGATCTGGAACTCGGCGCTGAAGCGAGAGCGGGCCTCGGCGAAGCGCGGACAAGCTGCCCATAAGTGCCGCGCGGAGCAGTGGAGCTCAGGGCACCACGGGCAAGCCTGAGCGCGCTTGCCCCGCCACCGCCGCGTAGGGGTCCAGGTGCCCCCCCCCCCGCCAAATGCTAAGCAACGTGCGCGAAGGAGGGCTAAGGCTCCGGCGCCAATCCCTCCACACAGGCGCGCTGGACGCCTCGACGTCGATAGCCTCGATCCCCTCCTCGTCGTTCCGGGGCTGGGCGCCTCGGCGGGGCCGCAGGAGGAGGCATCGAGCCACGACCCGGAGGGCGTGCTGGCCGGCCTCCCCAGAGGCGTCAAAGGCGCCCGCCAAAGCCGGGTACCCCAAGAGAGCGGCGAAGGCCGGAGCGACGGCAGCGCGCCGCACAGCGGCCTGGGCACGGGGGTCCGCGAGGCCCACCACAGCCAGCCACACACCAGGGAGGGCGACAAGCGGGGCCAGGCGAAGCCCGAATAAAGCGGCATGGTGACCCACCGACGAGAGCCACAGGGGCGAGACCGGGAAGTCTCCCGCAACCCGCAGCGCCTGCAAGGAAGACCCGACGGCCGGGTGCAGGGCCAGCCGCTCCGCCCACCATCTGCACTGCACCACCACGTGCAGCACGTGCGCGAAACGCTACGGAACGTCAGCCGCGTGAGCTCCTGGGGAGGCGTGCAAACGAACGGAAAGGCCCAACGCAATTTGGACGCCACGCACTGGATCCACGCACGCTCCCGAATTTCCGCGGTCAGGTCCATCACCTTGTCCCAACCGTCCCTGGGCAGGGGAACCGGAGGGTAGGCGAGGGCAGAGGACGCGGAGGGTAGGCCCAGAAGGCCCCAAGAGGCCCCAAGATGGCCCCAAGATGGCCCCAAGAGGCCCCCAAAAGGCCCCCAGGAGGCCCCCTAAGAGGACCCCAAGCGGCCCCAAGATGCCCCCCCGAGGCACCCAAGACGCCCCAGAGCCCCCCAGGAACGCCAACAGACCCCCAGAACGTGCCAAGAGGCCTCCAAAAAACGCCCAAGAGATATCCCAAGAGGTTCCGAGAAGCATCCAAGAGACCTCTGGCCCTTTCGCGTGCCCTCCTCGTCCTGCTCCTCCTTCCTCCTCCTACTCTTCTCTTCCTCCTCCTCCTCATCCTCCTCTTCTTCCTCATCCTATTCATCGTACTTCTCACCACTCCCTCATCCATCCATCCAGCCTCCTCCGTCTCCTCCTCCCTCCTTCGCACGGTTCGACCGTGTTCCCTCTTTGATCCCGCACTTTCCTGATCACCTCAACTCGCCTGGGCATCGTTTCGGGATGGGCTGGTGGGAATATTTGTTTTTGGTCGCGGCCACAAGACAACGGTCAGGTGGCGGAAGCAACGTCCGGGCCACGGGCGAGGCGAATTGGCTAAAACAGAAACCTGTTAGCACGGGCGCGTGCACTGGACAAGCTGGTGGGGATATGTTTTTTTGATCTGCGGCTCAAAGGACGATTCCAGAGAGCGGGTCGAAACAAGCTTTGGGCAACAAGCAAGATAATTGCCAGACTGGTGGGCATACGCGAAGCACATAATATTTGCAAGAGCTTCACGGATTGAGGTCGGCCCGTTTTCAAAATGTAGCTCTCGCATTAGCGCCGCGTGCACTCGTTTAAAAAAGTTGCAGGGGTCTCACGGACTGAGGGTGGCCCGTTTTCAAACTGTGGCTCTCGCCTTAGCGCCGCGTTCACTCGTTTTTGTTAATCTTAGAATTTGCAAGAGACTCTCGGATTGAGGGCGGCTCCTTTTCACAATGTGGCTCGTTTGCAAGAGTTTCACTGATTCCATCATCAGCGAACCAGAAATGGTGTTTTGGAAGGACTCAGGATTACGAGGGTGCATCGGTTACGGTAATTCGCGGTGTCGAAGTCCCAAGAATGGCGTTCTGGCACGATTGAGGATCGTCACGACGCAACAGTCGGGTTGATGCATGGCGTTGGAATCCCGAATACTATGTTTTAGCATGCTTCAGGGTCTTCAAACAGTTGTCTTCAAACGAGCCAGCTCCCCCAGTGGAAATTCTCCGCTGTAGGGGCATATGATGTGGGACCTTGGAGGGGGGGTTTACTCCAACATCGTTGATGACTCTTGGGCTTACACTGGTCCTCCTCCTCCTCCTTCTCCTCCTCTTCCCCCATGTTCCCTCCGTCCTCAAGCATCATGCTCATCCCACAAATCCATCTCCTCGTCCTCCTCCCCAATAACTACCTCCCTCCATCCATCCCTCCATCCTCCGCTTTCACCCATCACTCATCCTCCTCATCCGGCCTTCTTCTTCATCCGACCTTTCCCCCTCCTCCTCCTTCTCATCTCCTTATCCACCTCCTCCTTCAATTCCTTCTCCTCCGCCTCCTCCTCCTCGTCTCCTCTTCCTTGAACCCCTCCACATCATCGTCATCCTTCTCACCCCCTCCTCTTCATCTGGCCCCTCCTCCACCCTCGCGTCCCGTTGCACTTCCCGCTCATCCACAATCCACCCACTTCCCCGTGCCGTGCTCATCGTCGTTCTCCTGCTGCTCTTCCCTCCTCCAGCCTCCCGTGCGCTATCCACGCTCCCTCCCCTTGCTCCGTCCTCCGACACTCCTCGTCCGCAGCCCCCTCCCCCTCCCCCCCCCACCCCTCCAGCTCCTGGAAGAAAGGAGGAGGAGGAGGAGGAGGAGGAGGAGGAGGAGGAGGAGGAGGAGTAGGAGTAGGAGTCAAGCTAGCCAGCTCGAGCGAGTCAAGCATGGCATGCCCAGTCCCACCCGCCCTCCCACAACATAAGAAGCAAAGCTGGCACAACTGGGGGCCGAAGTCACACCGGCCAGCCGGTTTGGTACAGCTGATGCGGCCGCGATGGCGGTTGCCGACGGGAACTGGCGAGCGCGTGTTGAATGCCGCGCACGCATTGCCAGACGAGTCGAGAATGGCCCGGTACACCGCAGGAAGCCAGAGGTGGCCGTGTCGAGAACGGCCCGGTAAGCCGGGTCCCATTCCTGCCATGCATTTTGCGACGTGGACGACAGGACGTCCATGCGACGGTGCCAATGACGGCGACGACTCTAGAAGGATTTGAGCATGCGCTCGCGGCGACGCGCGCGCATGTCGCCCGCGTGGTATTTTTTGCACAGGATTCGCGGCCTGGGTGCATGACAGAGCATCGCGAGTGCACCGCGCGATGACGTGAAATCGCTGGATTTGACCGAATTCTTAAGATTCCTATGGTTTTCCTATGATTTCAGCAAGAGAGCCCGGGCAGGAAATTTGTAGAATTTTTGTGAAAAAACATTGGGTTTTTGATGTTTTTATGTTGAAATGCTTGCAAACACACGGTGTTCGGTAGGATTCTGACATGAACGCGCGCGTGTGCTCTTTGTGGTATTTTTTGCAATGGATTATCGCCGTGGACGACAGGACGTCCATGTCGAGAGGAAAAAATAAGAAAAATGTTGATTTTGTATTGTTTTTTACAGGTTAGGATGGGACCACCCGGATGCGGCCCCTATCTGCCGGCCTGAGGGGGGAGTAGGAGTATATTCTAATAAGGAATAAGGATAGGAGTAGGAGGAGGGAGGAGGAGATGGAGGAGGAAGGAGGAGGAAGCAGAGGAGGAGGAGGAAGAGAGGAGAGAGAGGAGGAGGAAGGAGGAAGGAGGAGAGAGGAGAGGGAGAGGAGGAGGAGGAGGAGGGCCGGCGGCCATGACGGCGACGGTGACGACGACCGCGGCGGTGAGGCGACGACGGCGGCGCCGGCGGCGGCGGCGGCTTCCAGCAAGCCTGGCCTGTTGGGCCAGCGCCGAAGGGATGCTGGCCGTCGCCGCCCAGCAGCCAGCCCCTGGTCGACCCGCACCAGGGCGGCTCCCGCCACGGCGACCAGGGGAGGGGGGGGGCCAGCCCGTCCCTAATTGCAGAGGGGGGGGAGAGGAAAGGTGAGGGGGGGGGGAGGAGGGGGAGGGCATGGTGGGGAGGTGGAGGGGGAGGGCATGGGGGAGGCAGAGCATAGGGGGAGGGAGGCATCGGGGGGGTGGGGGGGAAGGGATGAGAGGGGGGAAGCGAGGGAATAAGAAGCGACGGGACGAGGGGGGGAAAGGGGGGTGGGAGTGGAGGGCGAATTGCTCCTGACCAACATCATCCGTTCTTCCTACTTGCTCCCCTTCTTCCTCCTCCTCCTCCTCCTCTCCTCCTCCTCCACCTCCTTCCTCCTCTTTCTCCCACCTCCTCCTCCTCCTCCTCCTCCTCCTCCTCCTCCTCCTCCTCCTCCTCCATCAGCAGCGCTGAGGCACTGAAGACGAGACAATTCGTCGAACGTTGCCCTGCGCCCAGGGCCCGTCGGCCCTCAGGGGTTGATCAATCTAAGAGCCAGGCAACTCATGGAGCACTCGCTCCAGGGGTCGTCTGCTGGGGGGAAAAATGGCATGCAAAAGATAGCGACAGCACTGAAAGAGAAGAAGGAGAAGAACTCCTACTCCTCCTCCTCCTCCTCCTCCTCCTCCTCCTCCTCCTCCTCCTCTTCCACTTCTGTTTCCCCTTGATCGTCTCCTTCCTCCTCCTCCTCCTCCTCCTCCTCCTCCTCCTCCTCCTCGTCGATCTCCCCCGCTCCCTGCGCCCCCAATCCTCCTTCCCTCCTCCCTCGTCCTCATCTTCCCTGTCCTCGTCCTCGTCCTCGACCTCGTCCTCGTCCTCCTCCTCCTCCTTCTCCCTCTCTCCTATCCTTCACATCCCTCTCCTCCTCCTCCTCCATCCTCCTCCCCTCCCTCCTCCTCCACCTCCACCTCCTTCACCTTCTCCTTCTCCTCTCCTCCTCCTCCTCCTCATCCTCCACCTCCTCCTCCTCCTCCTCCTCCCCACCTCCTCCTCCTCCTCCTCCTCCTCCACCTCCTCCTCCTGAAGAACTGAAACACAAAAGACAAGAAACTTCGCCGAACGTTGCCCTGCCCCCTGCAGGGCCGGTCGGCCCTGGGGGGTGATCGAACTAAGAGCCAAGCTACTCCTGGAACATTCGCTCTAGGAGTCGCCGGCTGGGGAGAGATGATGACACGTAAAAGGTAGCGACAACAGTGAGAGAGGAGAACGAGGAAGATGAGGAAGAGGCAGGAGGAGGAGGAGGAGGAGGAGAAGGAGGAGGAGGAGGAGAGGAGGAGGAGGAGGAGGAGGAGGGGGAGGAGTGAGGAGGAGGAGGAGAAGGAGGAGGAGGAGGAGGAGGAGGAGGGGCGAGGATAGAGAGGGAGGAGAGAGAGAGTTCTCCTCCTCCTCTCCCTCCTCCTCCTCCCCTCCTCTCCTCTCCTCCTCCGCCCTCTCCCCTATCCCCAAAAACCCTCTCATCTTCCACCCCATCCTCCCTCCTCTCTCGGGCTCCCTCCCTCCACCTGCTCCCTCATTCAACTCCTCCCCCTCCTCCTCCTGCGCCCACTCATCCCTCTGGTCCTCCACCTACTCCTCCTACTCCCTGCTGCCTCCCGATCCTTCTCCTTCATCTCCTCCTCCTCCAACACCTTCTCCTCCTCCAGCCAATGAATGTGGCGAAGGCCAAAGGTCCCCCCTCCCGCCAACCCTCAGTGGAGCTGGGCGAGCTCCGCCACCTCACGCAGCAGCCCGTCCAGACTGCCGAACACTACCTCGGATGGCCGCATCCTCATCCGCAGCATCCATAGCTTCCTCCCTCGCCCTCCTTTCACATGCGACGAACATGTCCATATCTGTGCACTCGCGGTCTGGATTCCGAGTCGCGACGCCTATTGTCACACGATGCCATGAA